CGGCAGGGGGTTCCCCCCCCCCCGGGAGGTGTTTTATTTCCATTCCTGACTCCAAGGCTGGCACTAGCAGGAGGTTTTCAATAACCGAGCCAAGGCCCCATGCAGAAATCAATGGGAGGGAGAGGTTTGGGCTGGAGCCTGCGAGCTTGACGCCGGATCCTCCAGTGGGTTTCTCTGGAGGGGGCTGGGTGGGGAAGCTCACACACGTCACGGTTTCCAAGCAGGATCAGCAGGCCAAGCCCTCTGCTGCTATCGCTCTCCCGAGGTGGCTGGAGACGCCCCAGCAGCCGCGCTGGCAGGTAACACCGCAAACACCGAGCGTCGCATCAATTCCAGCTCCAAACCCCTGGTCAGCTAGCTTAGGGATTGGTGCACGGACCTGGGATGGAATACAGCAAAACAGCAAATAAAACCTCTGATAACTGTGAATATAACAAATGTAACATGTAGGGGATGTTATCACTTCAGGTGGTCAGAATCATTGCACAACCAAAACAAGTCTTGGTTCTTCGTGAATATTGGGATGGTTGCAAGGTAAGGGACTCCTGAATGATCCCTTGAGGCGGCTGGGCCTTGGGAGAAGAGGGATGCAAATTACAGAGATAAGGAGGCTGCAGGGTAATCTGGAGACCCTGCCGATCACCGAGAGACGCCAAACAAACGTGTGCGACGGACATGACCAGATACTAATGAGTTCTTGGTAAAACTTCTTGCAAATGGAAGGAATGTGTACGTTAACGTAGCACAAACACCTAGTAAGCGTGTCCTTTCGGTGCGCACGTTTGGGGGGGAGATCCCCCGTGTGCCCAGTGCCGCAATAAAGAATCCCCGCTTCATAGTCTGCTGGCTGTTGAGTCTTCAATTCCGGCTTTCCACGGCATCACAGAGGGAAGATGACGTTTTGTTTCTGAACTGCGCAAAGCTTCACTCTGAATTTTGCAAATAGGTTTCCAAGCGCGTTTTTGACCAGCGCACGCCCGCGGCCCGGAGCCCCGACGGAGCCGTTCGCCGCTCGCTTCCGACCCGCGTCCCCCCATCGGAAGATGGGGCCTCGAGGAGATGTTAGCAAACAGTCTGCGGTGCTGGAAAAAA